TAGACTAAACATAAATACCGCGTTAATATAAATCTATAATAATACAATTCCTTGAAATTGCTGGCGGAATAGCCAAAACACTAGACTCCATTATTTTTAGTAATAAGGAAAATAACACAGCATGGTAACCACAAGAACTGGGTTTCGGCTAGACATGTAAATCCTCTTCACCCGCAATAATTTTGACTCACGAAAAGCGACGATTTGATAATAAATACACTAGACTCATGGAAGGTACCACGACAGTCAATAATCATTAAAAACATTATTGTTAAATTTTTATAAGAGAAGTTATACCTATAGAAATTAAAATCTGGTCGTGCAAGAGAAATTTGTCTGAATCAAAATTTATCAGACAAAAAGACCAACATTCACCTAATAACTTTTTACAGTCATATATAGTAAAACTTAAAACTTCAAAAACTTAAAGAAAAGAATATTTATCAGCCCTCAGAACAACATTCTCCGAACTTATCTTTTCAAGAGTTCTAACTAAAATTCCTTAGTCTACTCCTCTTCCCCTTGTAATAGTAAATACTTTAAGCAGTGAGTCTTTCAGAAATTACATAAACCCATGATTTCTCAGCGTATTGGTCTAAAAGCCAATCTTCTGCGGGGATCAGAAAATTCACAAGTTTACTCTTTTCCTTCTATAAGTAATAACCTATACTTGAAGTAGTGGGCTGACTTGTCATTTCAAAAACATCGAAGTTCGAGAACGACGGGTTACCTCATGTGCTGACTATTAGTGAGCTATCGAACAGGTTGGGACGAACTGCAGTAAAATGGTGCGTTTATCAGACATCAGAGGACCATGCTGTCTGCAACCTGTTACCGGTTTACAGGCCGATTGTACCGAAACACAGCTGAGTGAGTCTTTTACTCAAGGAAATCATTAGTTTTAATAAGTAAACTTTATGCTGCGTATGGGACTCGAATTATGCACATTTATCTGCAGAGTAACACTAAGACCCAAGCGCCATTGCCCCAACCTACAGCATATTCAACAGTCACTCATTTTTCCGAGAGTATATAAGAATTTACTACATCAGAATATGCCTCTACATAAGTAATTCTTTATTCTTCAAGGTTACCAGCTTTAAAACCATTCTATCTATTTCGTTTTAATATTATCACTACTTTTTTCTGTCTGCCACACGTCCCAACGTGTCATTTCATCAGGTGAAGGGAGTGAGTTTAAAAATGTTATGGTTGCAACACAGTAGCATCCTATTATGTTCTGAAAAATTATAAACTTTTTTTAATTAGCTTCATTTTATATCGTTCATTCGTCAAGTTACAAGAAAAACTTACGTGCTGTTTCAGACTTTTCAATGTATCCAAGTCGCCATCGGTTGCAGCTTGGCAAAGCAGAGGCGGAAATAATATTTCTTTAAGTCGTCGCATTTCATTGGCGGTGGACAAATGAAGAAACTGACTCAACCGCTGTAGAATATCGTAATTTTCTAGGTTTATCTGTTCGTCTACGTTCATTGTCATTTCACCGCGTAAATTCCTTCTTATCATCTAAAAATTTTTAAGCTTCATGGAAATTACTGAGCAGCAATAACAATGGCAATCGTAGAAATTACAGCAAATAAATCAATTCACTTCACTCCGTATGAAAATATTACATATCTCGTTCATAGCGTTGTTCTATTCTATATGCATTACTTCGTTACGAAAGGCTGAGATGTATACTAGACGTCGATCGCTTGGGTAACATATAAACAAATATTTGAATATAACCGAAACCGAGCAAATTTTCCATAGCACTCTGCATTTTCTGAATGATATACTCTGCTATCTAACTAAAGTCTGCTCAGAACTGCGTCCACGAGATGCCAGTCTGTAAACATATTATCCTGGGCGACTTCATTCAGAAGTCAGGTAGTTTATATCGTTTTCAATGAGCATTTCAGAGACACGGATTCCTTCTTGCAGAGCTATTAGAATCTTTCTCATTTGACATGGTTCCGCTTTGATCCGTACATCTTTCTTGCACCACGGAAGAAGAAAAAAGCCGCACTGCTTCTCTAATGAAGCTTCAGTGTGAAAATGCTCTGGCATCATACTACACGCTACAAAAGAACGGGACCTCTACCCCCTTCCCGATCGTCAGAGGCTACCGGCATCAACAACATACAGAAATTGGTTGAACAATAATCTCCACTGCTCCACCTACTCCACTGCCTCTCTGCTAATCTGAAGAGGGCAACGGGCAGGAGAACCAGAAAGCACTAGACTTTTCGTTTTAGATGCGTTCACACGCCTGCCGGTCACGTCGCACTCGGCTGCGAACCTTTCTAAGGAGC